GGCCGGGCGGCGGTGCGGGCGTGCAGCCCGGGCTCCTGCGGCCCCCAGGCGGCGCGGGGCTGCCACGCTCCGGACCTCACGGTCGCAGCCCCGGCCGGGGCGTGGACCACTCGGTTTGGAAGAGGGAGGGTGGCGCGGAAGCCTGGCCAGGACAGGCTGAGGGCCAAACCTTTAAAGACCCCAGGGAAGGACGTGCTTTCAGGTACCTTATCAAAAATAATAGCTGAGCAGAAAACAGAGGGAAAGAAGCAGAACCCGTGGGCGAGGGTCCGAGAGGCCCCGCGGAAGACCCAGCACCCCACTGCCTCTCCTGCGGGTGGGCCTTCCCTTCCTAGCGTTTGATGAAAATCATTTAAACCTAAAAGGCATTTATTTCCAGAAAAGCCTTCAAATCCCAGAGGCCTTTTTGAAGCAGAACTTGCTTTGAGTGCTCTGTTTTAGATACTGAAGGTGAAGGAAGGTTCCAGAACCGATGTGAAGTCTCCCTGCACTGGGTCTATTTGTGTATTCCTTGAGCTGTCTTCAGATCCCAGAGGAGCATATGTCCCACTCCAGCGTGTTCTAAGAAGCACTAGTTTAGAGCAGCCTGGCACCTAATAGTCTGATCACACAAACTGAAACTCAACGGATTGCATTCTGAGGGAAAGCCTTCAGTTCCTAGGGGTCGGTCCATGGTTACTTAAGGTACAACTGGACAGATTCCATTAGAGACCCGAGGCCTGAGCAGGCCTCTGAGTCTCCCTCTGCAACCTTCCTTTCTCTGTTCCCCGTATGAGTGCATCGGTGGGTTCTTGTACTCGGGCTTCTCCTCCTGCACTGGTGATTGGTAAAGGCAGCACTGTGTCAATCCCCCTCTCATCCTCTTCAGCATAGCACGCAGGAGGCAGCATTGCAAAGCATGGATTTGTTGAATGAAGGAGTGACTGACGAAAACAAAGATGATCACATTGTTGTTGTTGCTCCCTCATGAGCTGGTCCCACCAAGCTGACCACGTGGCATGCTTGTGCCTCTTGGGCACCCATAAAACTGCATTTGCTTTTAGTGCTTCATATGAACCAGAAATGGAAGGAAGGGCACAGTAGGGAAGGGGTGGGCGGCCCCAGGGTCGTGGTTCCTGATTACTCTTAAGGCCTTGCACTGAGCGTCTAGGTGGGGTCACAACTTTGTTCCACACGCAATACAGAAATGCATAAGCTCCCAGGACTTAGTAGCTGGAGCCCCCAAGACTTAGTAGCTGTCTCCATGATACAAATGGAGCCTTCTGGGCTCACAGATCCCAGGTACCGCTTTGGGGCTGAGAGCCTGGCTTGAGGGAACAGCAACAGTTCTGGTTCCTGGCCACATTGTTTTCTCTATGGCGAGGAACCAAATCATTTGCTGTGACTAAAAAATCAATCACACTATTGCATCCACGTGGTGAGCAGGGCTGGGAAGGCTTGTATTTACATCTATTCACCAGTGAAACAGCCTCAGTGCTTTCAGAATCCCGGGTGGACCTGTACCTGCCCACATCTGGAAAGCCAAATTCTGGGGCCCAGTGGAGACACCCAGGGCCCAAGACTCCCACATGGAGCAGCTCTGCCGCTGTGGGTAGCACGGACATCAGCAGCATAGCTGTGCTGATACGAGCGCACACTCGGCAAGGCGCGCCTCCTGCTGTCAGTGCTACCTTACACAGTGACAGCACAAAGCGAGCAGAGCACAGTCGCTTCAAGCTGGGTATGTGACCCATTGTCTGGCTCTGCGTGGCTCATCACAGTGTTCAGTGAACGCTCTTTGCAAGAACGTTTTCGTTGTTACACTTACGTAACAGTAGTAGCTACAGGTAGCACTTGGTAGGGACCGTGCCACTGCTTATTCTGAGTGGTTTCCGGGGCCTGCCCATTGGCTCAGTTGTTTAAGTGCCTGCTTAAGCAAAGCAGTGAGGCTTAGGATTCTGTGGCTCGATCCCCAGACCCTCATGCTGTCAGACCTGCCCTTAAGGCATCCTGAGCCAGTCCCCCCCCCCAAAAAAAAAAAAATCCTTCTGAGTGGTTTTCAAGCAATAACTGGTTTAAGACTCACAACAGGCCAGTGAGGAAGGCCCAATAACTATTCCCATTTTACAGACCACAAAGCTGGGGTAGAGGTGAAATTTGTGTCCCATGTCATGTAATTGGCTATTGGCAGAGAGATGGATGCCAACCCGGGCTTTATGGAGGGTCCCTGCTTGAAACTTTCTGCCTAATAAACCTCTCTCTCTCTCTCTCCCTCCCCATCTCATAATGAGTTATTCATATTAGCTCCAGCTGGCGGTCACCAGGGAGCTTTTCCCAAATGAAAACACTCAAATACTTTATGTCGTGCCACCCCAGCAAGGACACACATCCCAGACCCGGCAGAGAGCAGGGTCCTCCTTAGTCCTGGCTCAGCAGTAGGTGACAGGACTCCCACTAAAGCCATGACAGCCTTGTGTACATCACCCCTTAGAGTGGGCCTCCAGCTCTTCTACCTAATCAGTGAAAGATCTCTGCTTTTAAAAGAAATTCTTTCCTCTGTGACTGTCCATCTGTTCCTTTTCCTCAGTGCCAAGAAATTAACAAGTATGCACCTTTGTGAAGTCACTGCTATCTCTATAGGTGTTAATCCCTGGAGAGCCAAGCTACCTCTAGCGTTCCCCACCACTCTGACACCTAATCTGCGTTTGTGCTACTGTTTTTGTTTTTAGTTTTTATTTTCTTTTTTAAATTTTTCTTTTTCTTTTTTAATTTTTGTATTTTTTTGGGAAGGGTCTATAGGGTGTTCAGGGTCTCACTACTAGATTGGACTCATAGTGATTCTCCTGTTTACAGCCTCCCAAGAGCTGGGATTATAGGTTTGCGCCATCACGCCCAGGCTCAATTGCCATCTCACTGTGCCCCAGGGGTGGTGCTGGCATGGCAGGCCTGGGGATCGAACCCCTGGCCCCTGTGCCTGCTTGCAGTGTTTTCTTTTTGTGAACTCCTGCAAATATTAATGAATTACAATCTACTTTCTTGACAACACAGCAAAATAAGTTTGTTGTTGCTCCTAAAGGGTTTATTAGATCAGAGACCTGGGTATTCCTGTGTATATTCACTTCACTATAGGTTCAGACAAGTTGTGTGTCCGGGTGGCGCAGGTGTAGGAAACTTTCGCCTCAGCCCCAGCTCTTACAATAATCATAATAAAACAAAGGAAACGTAGCAAGTTACTGGCAAAGTCAATTGCTTTTGGCTTAAATGTTCTTGTTTTTTTCTACCGTGTTCTTCCTGTCATGACCATCTTATTCTGTTAATAACACTTAT